TGGTATATATATTTATGTATGTATTTATGTATGTTTGTATATATATATATTGAAAAAGTCTATGCATAAGTGCGTGTTCTTCTGCATGTTTAATGTATTTTTACCGATGTAGACATAGAAGTTATATATATATGTGTGTATGTGTGTATGGGTGGGTGTTTGTGGGTGAGTGTTTGTATGTATTTGTGTGCGTGCGTGTGTGTGTTTGTATGTTTTTATGTACTCATATGTTGTCAACTTGCGGTCATGTACGTACTAACATCCTCGTCTCATATGAACACATCTTGACATGTTATAGCAAGTGAGCCATTGTCGATTGAGGAAGAGTATGCCATGCAAGCATCGTGGCACCAGGATGCCGATAAGCTTACGTTTATAATCCTGAGCGAGAAGGCCTATGCCAATGGACCAGCAAGCGATGTTGTTTCGTCAATGATAGGCGATGTGAACGTCTTTCTGATTAACCACAATGACCAGAAAGCTGCGGAGGTGGAGGTTATGATCGCAGAGCCCGAGGCCAGGGGGAAGGGATACGGGAGAGAGGCCATACGAATGATGCTCGCATATGGTGTGTATCTGACTTACGCCTTACTGTCACTTCTTGGCAGGATGAATGAGAATTGCCTGAGCTTTGACAACTACTTATAATATAATACTTGGAAGACTTTAGCTAACGCAGACATACATACTTTACGCATACGTAATAGCATACAGGGAACTGGGACTCACATATTTTGTAGTGAAGATAGGACTGGCGAATACCACGTCCGCCAGACTATTCAAATCGCTGCTATTCGTTCAAGAGAGTGTAAGGTGAGTACATACCGGCAAAGGTTGCCCAAGACTATAGGCTGCACAGTTTTATAGTCTCGAGCTTTATATTATATATATGTTCCACATATGTCTTACGCAGTTGTTGCTTATTCCTGTTGTAATCCCCCGTTTCACTTCAACGAGACGTAGTCGGTTATACACCCTCATGCATATACACGTACACGTTTCTATCTCCATGCATATACACGTACATGCTTCTGTCTCCATGCATATACATGCAAATGCTTCTATATGTTTTAATGCATGTCATTGGCTACCCCTCGCGGTGACTGATCAACTCTAGAGCTACCACGAGTGCGAAGTATTTGCCGGTCTTGCTTTGTTATGCTCGATACAGATGGTCTCGAAACCCCAATGTACACACTTGTATGCATAGATATACATGTGTATGTACACATTTGTATGTATAGATATACATGTGTATGTACACATTTTTATGTATAGATATACAAGTGTATTTACACACATGTCAGGTTCACATCTACGCACTCAAGGGCCCCAGGTCAGTTTATTGTGAGCCTGCAATGGCATATGGTAATATGATTTTATTTAGAGTTCAATTGTACCGTTGCACACATTAGACATATCAAGTACTACGCTTAACTTGGCAGCGTATGGATGTAGGTACACATCTGATAGTTGCGACCGGGTTGTTAATGGCGTTGTGGCGTATGGCGGAGTTCCATATCAGTCACACCACTGACTTCTGTGGGCTAAGAGTCGTCCTGTGTAATTCATATCACATCAGCTCGGTATACAACATCCTATATTATACATGCCCCTGGTGTTAATATAGATAGAGACTCAAATGCACCTAAGCTCTCTCAGTGTACTGTTAACCCCATGCCTATGCGTTTGCACCCCAGTGAGGCATTCCAGGAGGTTACCATGGTGATGGACATGTCCACTTCGACAGTCCCCAGGAACCTCACTACATACAGTCAGCGCTCTCTAAAAGAACGGCTTGCCAAAGACACACTCGCAGCAGAAAACGAATAGCGAAGGCAGGAGCATTAAATAGCAAAACAATTGGCCTATACCCCATGGATGTGTAGGGCAATACAAGGGCGCCATATTGGTTTGTGCCAAGGGCCTTGTGTGTGGTCAACACATACACATTATGTGACAGGAGGCTGTGCCTTGTGCCGATGCAGCGGGGTGAACTATGGCGCAATGGTTTATTGAGCGGAGAACAAATGCGCATACGCAGGCACCAAGGGGTGATATAGTAATGACCCCGATGAACCAGACAGTCTACACTGTGGGAGTGCTTCATGCGACGTTCGGCTGGGAATACGAACTGATTACATACTGTAGAGCTCTTGGTAGGACTTTCGGATTGATACCAAGGCTATTGATGGAGAGAGCTTGCCAGGGATTGGGGCGGATGGTCCCAAGTGGCCCAATGGGATGAAATTAGTTGAACCCAAATTTAGGTAATATAAATACATGTGTCCTATTGAGGTAATATAAATACACGATATAATGAGGTAATATATATACATGAGTTATAATGAGGTAATATAAATACAGGAGTTATAATAAGGTAATATATATACATGAGTTATAATGAGGTAATATATATACATGAGTTATAACGAGGTAATATAAATACACGAGTTACAATTAGGTAATATAAATACATGAGTTACAATGAGGTAATATAAATACATGTGTCCTAATGAGGTAATATAAATACATGAGTCCTAATGAGGTAATATAAATTCCCTGAGTTATAATGAGGTAATATAAATACATGAGTCCTATTGAGGTAAAATAATACATGAGATACAATGAGGTAATATAAATACGTGTGTCCTATTGAGGTAATATAAATACAGGTGTTATAATGAGGTAATATATATGCATGAGTTATAATGGGGTAATATAAATACATGAATTACAATGAGGTAATATAAATACATGTGCCCTAATGAGGTAATATAAATACATGAGTTACAATAAGGTATATAAATACATGAGTTACAATGAGGTAATATAAATACATGTGTCCTATTGAGGTAATATAAATACAGGTGTTATAATGAGGTAATATATATGAATGAGTTATAATGGGGTAATATAAATACATGAGTTACAAAGAGGTAATATAAATACAT